CCACGGGAGCTAGAGGACCCCTATGCCAGGGCAGGTCCCAGGGACTGACCCAGTCCATCCTTGGAGCTCCCCTCCCTGCCATTAGCCTCACCTTCTGACCAGCAAAGGAGAAGGGGAGAGTGCAGCTTCAGCCTCCCATACCCATTTCACAGATGGGGACACCGAGGCCCCAAGCAAGGCTGGAGCAGGGCCAGGCCCAGAATCCGAGATGCTCTCGGCTGCTGCTGCTGCTTCTCATCACCATTTCACCACCTCTGTCCATGTTTTCCTTCCTTTTTCTCCTCCTCTGTCTTCCCTTCAACTCCTCCGTCTACGCTGTCCCTCTTCCATCCCCTTCTTGGAACTCACCGACTCACTCACACCCTGCGCCCGCGTTCGCACACACCCTTGTGTGTGCACTGATTTCATCTCCCCCGACTCCTCCACTCACAAACCTCTGCCCGCACTCAGTGGTCCTGCTCCAGCCACGCGCACCTCTGCACCCCTTGCTGGTGACAGGTCCCCGTCCACATGCCTGTCCTGGTCACACTGCTTCTTGGTCACCTCCTCGCCATGTCTTCATTGTTATTCTTGTGTCCGTCACATCCATTCACCTTTATCTTTTTTTGCACGTGTTTCTCCAGCTAATCTGTCATCTGTCCCCACTTCCACTACCCTGTCCCTTCCACACCACGTTGGCCACACTGGTGGCTCTGTCCTCCCCATCCACACCCCCGACGCCCATCCCTGCCGACCCATCTCCCTTCCCTGTCCGTGTGGACACGTCTTTCCTCCATCCACGCCAGTCATGTCTCTTCCATTCCTGTCCCCACCGCCACACCCACACTATCCGTCCCCTTGCCATCCATCCTCTCCATCCATCCCATCATAGGCCATCGACCGCAACTCTGGCCGAGCCTCCTCCTACCTTGAGGGCTCCTCCTCAGCCCCGCCGGCCACCCAGCCGAGGCCCACTGTGCAGAAGGTAGTAGGGGGAGGGCGTGGGGGACTCCAATTTTGCCCGGCCCCCAGCAAAGGGGTCCAGAGCTCCTCCCCCACCCAGAGCCCGGCAGGGACTGGAGAGCCCGGGGAAAGGGCACCTCGAATCCTTCTGCCCCCTCCTCCCGCATGGCGTCCTGCTGCTCTAATCCCCAGTCCTCTGCTGCATCCGGGGGGGGGTGGGGTGCGGGAGGGGTGGCGCGGCGCTCCTGTGACCCCGGCCCCTGCCCCCAGCTGCTGCACGAGGAGCTCGCTCTGCAGTGGGTGGTGAGCAGCAGCGCCGTGCGCGAGGCCATCCTGCAGCACGCCTGGTTCTTCTTCCAGCTCATGGTGAGACCCCAGGGTCAAGCCACAGGGTTCAAGCCCCGCTCAGGATCCCTTACACCCATCTCCAGCCCACCTCCCTTGCTGTGAAAGCCCCGCCCTTTCCGGCCAGCCCCCTCCACCGGCAGCCCCTCAAGCCCCACCCCCGGCCCTCTCGCCCCGCCCCCAGGTGAAGAGCATGGCACTGCACCTGCTTCTGGGCCGGCGG